ACCCGGGCCCGGTTCCCGCATCCCAGCGCCCCACATTTCCCGGTGTGTTTTAATGGAAGCAAAACCCTTTGGCGGGGTCTTCGTGCCCCGCGTTGTCCCGCCCTGGAGCCCCCGTTGCTCCGGGAACGTCCGACCCGCCGTCGTCCTCGGGAACTGTGGAAAACCGACTCCCGGCAGCCCTTCAAAACAGAGAGTAATTCATTACCCACCTTGATTTCCACTTAAAATGTACTTTAACTACACTTCCAACTACAAACCCTAAATCACCCTCGTGTTCACCAAAAATCCATCATTTTTTATTTTATTGCACGGCGCTGGCGTGACATAATCCCTCGCAGAGCGTCTCGCGGTGCTTTACGGATCGATAAATTACTTACCTGCGCGGCGGAGGCTGCGCGTGCGAGGCCGCCGCCGCCGTTCCGCGCTCCCCGGGGGCTCGGGGCGTGAATTCCGGCTTCTGCCCTTCTCCTCCATCCCCCCGTCCTCTCCTTCCCCCTTTTTCCCCTGTGTTTTGCGTCCGAGACGGATAAGGCCGCTCGGTAGGGGTAGCGGGGGGAAGGCCAATCCTCCCTCGCACACGCTCGGAGCGTTGACTTGCCATTTAACTCCCCCCTTCCGTGTCCTTGCAGTGTCTCCGAAAATCACCGAGATCTCCTCCGACGTCTCCATCAACGAGGGCGGCAACGTCAGCCTCACCTGCATAGCCACGGGCAGGCCAGACCCCACCATCACCTGGAGACACATCTCGCCCAAAGGTAAGAAGGGCTCCTCGCCCCACCGTCTTCCAGAAGACTTTTCCCCCTTTCCGTGTTCGCTGCCATCCAGCAGGTTCCTTCCCCCGGGGAATCTTTACCTGCGCTTGAACCAGATGTTCCCGTTTTACTTAGGTCTTAGCTGCTATGGAAACTGAGGATGCGCCGAGAGAGGAAAGCAAGCTAATCAGAAATTACCCGCGGCGCCGGGTAATTTGCAGCAGCAGCAGCTCTTACCTGCTTTTGGCCGCGGTTAGGCCTCCTCCTTTCAGAACTCGAAGGGAGTTTTGAAATGGCTCAGGATGCCCTTGGTCCCCGTCTTGGGGCCGCCGCAGGACCCAAAGGGACACGTGGGTGTCGGGGAGGCGCGAGGCGCCGCGGTCGGGCTCCATCTATGCGGTGCTGCGGGCTGTATCCCTTCTCATGGACCGGTGTGTTTTGGCGCCCTCATGCCGATACGTGTTGGCACTTTTAGGTGATGGGCTTCACTTTGGATCCCACGCCTCCGATTTATTCTTGTCCCGCATCCATAAAGCGGGGAGAGCTGCTCTAGCCCTCGATCGGGTTTCGGTCCCTCAGGTGTTTCCATAGTTACTGGGCGCTTTATTTGGGTGTTTTTGGGTACCTCGGACATCGTCATGGCGATTGCCATGTTGTCGGGCTGTTTCTCATGGGGGCAAACTGGAATTTTGGGCCCACGAGCAGCAGCGCAGGGCGACGGCAAAGAGAGAGTATTTACCCAAACTGTAGCAACGAGGCGCACGTTGCCTCCGGTCAGGAGCCGAGTTTCTCCCATTGCTCTCAGGTTATTGCTGTAGTAGGACGGACTCGGGCGCATGTCCCAGGGTGGCGGGTGTCAGCGGTGACAACGTGACGGCTTGGCTCGATGGAGCTGTCCTTGCAGGAGGGCCGATTGGGAAGTAGGAGGATGAACACGGTGGGACCACGCGGTGCCGCGGCACGGCGGTCATCGCCGCTCGCGCGCGCGCTCGAGATAGATGAGGCAGAGCGGCCTAATGTGGCCGGGGTCTCATGAGAGCATCTGTCTATACATCAGCAGGGAAGGGACTCTGGGAGCAGCCCTGCGGATTGGGATGCAGCGATTCCCTCCTGCCCGGACACGAAGGGGCACAGGGTGTCCGGGCTTTGCTAGCCATGAAGTAGCGGCCACCACTAGCAGGAAAGGAGCTGGGCGAGCTCGCCTCCCTTCTGGTAGCCCGGGGCTAACGCGGCCGAGGCGTCGCGAGAGGCTGCGGCCCCGTCGGCAGCTCAACCGTCCCCTTGTTTACTGTTGAAATAATTACTGCTTTGCCATAATATTAGCTCTGAGCCGTGACTCCATTACCATTATCGCCGGAATATTACCCATTTATTATCTCCCAGCAACCCTGGAAGATGAACACTAGGCTTCAGAGACCAATTGTTTTACAACAGACAGGATCTTGGTGCGCGTTGTTTAATGAGGTAAACTACATTATAGCCGGCATTAATTTGGCCGCCGGGCGCTCCGCTCGATCATCGCTAACCTGTAAATCTGCCGCCGGGTTGGACGCGCGCGGCCGCGGCGCGCGCCGGACACGGCCCCCGGGGTGGCAGGGAACTGGGAAGCTCCCGGGTTGCTTCCCAGTGTCGGGTCCGGAGCGGCGGGATCCGACGGCATCCGGGGCCCTCGGGATCGCGTTCGTTGCGGAAGAGCCTTGCGCGCCGAGCGGCTGTATTTCCTCCCCCCGTTGATGCACCCTCGTTCCTCCCGCTATTCCGGAGCACTAGGAGGTTATACGCTTCTCTGGATGTACGCGGATATAAGTAACGCGTTTGCTTGCCTGCGTGGTGCGAACGAACCCGCTGAGCTGATTTGTTTGCGTATTTGGCAGCGCCGCCCTTAAAAAGACGCCTCTTAGTACAAAAATAACCAGACCCCTACCAGCTCCAAATGAGGCGATGCTTTTCTCATAAGAAAAGGAGGAAAAAAAACCCTCTCCGCTTCAGCGTGTTGCCTAAACATCGCTCGGCAATGTCCAATGTCCGGCGTTCCGGACTTTCCGGCGCTTCCCAGTTTGCGGAGGCCGGTCCCGGTGGGGACGTCGCCGACCTGCCCTCCTTGTGCCCCGGCTCTGCCCGGGTTGCTGGCTAATGGGGTGGAGCTAGCGCGAGTGCTTCCTATTAATGGGGCAGAATATAAACAGAATAAAGCCTTCATTTCCCGGGCTGTGATTTCATTATTAATATACTTTACAGTTCGCAGGTTGTTCATTTGCTCCCGTGTTTTCTCAGCTGGTGTAATCGGCAGCTCCGAGTGAGAACAGTCATAAAATTTCCATTTCCAGTTGAACGTGCGTCCAATTCGCCGTGAAATGTTCTCTCTGTCGTGAATATTAAGCGCGCGAGGAGTCGGGAGCCGCGGGATTAGGCAGGGCAGGTTGCCAGCCCCCTCTCCCGGGGCCGCGGGCGCGAAGGGCGCTCGGAGCGCGCGGGAAGCGGGATGCGCTCGGAAGCGCTTCCGCCGCCGGGAAGAGCCGCCTCTTGCTCTCCTGTCCTCTCGCGGCCGAGTCGAGATAATAATAGTCTTATTGTGATCCCCTGAACTTGCCCGTGCGCCCGGTAAAACAACGGCAATTCTTCTTCCTCCCGGCCTCTGTCTCTCGGCCTCTTTTGTTTGCCGCCTCCTGCAGTATAATTTAGAGCCACGGCAGCGCCATAGCCCGTGGCTCCTTCCCCTTGCTGCCATCCGCCGCTCTTATTTACAGCAGCTTTTCCTCTCTTGCTGTTGCATTTTCCAGCCCTGGCACGTGCCGGGGACCGGCCGGACCCCGTGTCCCCCGGCTGTGGCGAGCGCGTCCGTCTCGCCGCCCGCCCGCCCGTATATTTCCCCGGCTCCTATCACGAAGCGGCGGTATCGCCAGCGATGCTCCCGGAATGGAGACATCAGCGCCATAAAACACGAGGGACAGCGCAAGGCCACTGGGCCGGAAAATAGCGTGTCTGGAAAAATAAAGACGGGATAAAGATGATGGAGAGGCGCGAGCGGCCCTCGCCCCGCGGCCCCTGGGACGTGCGGGGGAGGCCCGGAGCGATCCCTGCTGCCGCGGGCGGATTTCGACCGCCCTGGCTGCTGGTTTTCCCTTCCCTCGCGCCTTTCTGCTGCTCGCTTCCCATCCTGGGGATGTTTCCGTCGCTCGCCGGCATCGCGGCGCCCTCCGGAGAGCCTCGTCGGCAGAGGCCGCGTGCCGAGCGAGGGGACAAATTAAATCAAGCGCCCGGCTTCGGCACCCGGGGGGAAAACGCGCCTCAGCTCTG